ACGACAAACATTCAGGAAAATATTAGCGTTTTGTGTTTTTTTTGACTTAGTGTGGACGGGGCCTTAGTTTATCTGCATCATGACATGACAGTATGATGCACTTTGTAAAGGTGGAAGAATTTATTCATATTTGGGAAATTTTATCTTTTATTTTTTGTGTTAATATGTTTTTATTGGTGTAACTGTGAGAGCTGCTTTCCAACAATTACACGTCCAGCTCCAGCATAAAACATCACAAATAAACTGAAGATGTTGATCCATCTTATCTCTTGGACTCTGTGGAATATAAAACAGACCTTGGCTCAGATCAGCAGGACAGTTTCTAGAAATGTCTCTCATTCCCTCTCAGATGTAAGAAGCCACTTCAAACTTTCAGCTCATGACAGAAAACCACAACTTTCCTGCTTCATAAAATCAGACCAACCCAAACTCAGCTTTCCTTCAGTTTAAGGGAACTGAAACTACAGAATATGTTACTTTTTATAGCTTTGAAAGCTTCTGGTTTTTGTATGTTGTCTTTTTTTAAAGCAGTGAACATTGTTTTTATTACAGCTGATTGATAAAAAATAACTGCTCTATTTAGTTTAATTCACTTCATTTTGACTCTGCTTCAGATTTTCTCCACTTAAACTAATAAAAGGCTGCATTGTTGAGGCATTTCCACTGTGATCAGCTGCTCGGTCTGAACAAAGCTTTAAGTGTGGAGGCTTCCTAGAGAGGAGGTCTGCTGGCATTGCTGACTGGCTGCTGTTACGTCTAATAAAGCAGCCAACTGGGAAAACATATGCTCAGCTGTTTGGGAGCCGTTCTGGTCTGTGAATGAAAGGCCTTCTGCTCAAAGGCACAATGTCTGTTTAAAGTGTTATTACAGCATCAGCCGTTCAAAATGTCCCCACTTTCCTTGGTTGGTCTCCTATGATTCCTCTTTAAACCTCAATCTTTGTACTAAAATATTCTTTCTGTCATGATTTCTGGACGTTATGATCTAAAGAGAAGCATCATATCCTGCTCAGACCCTGTAGGACAGTGAAAGGGTGGAGTCAGAGTAAATAAAATATGCGAGAGGGGGTCACGTTTGACTGTGAAGGGCCATTTTTAATGGCCGCTACTTTACTAAAGCAGTATTATTATTATTAGTT